GTCTTCTGGGTTGTTGCGCTGTGTAGTCTGGTCGATGTTAACCAACGTTTCAGAGGTCATACTGCCTTCGTCATCAGGGCGATGGGTATGAAGATTTCTGTCTTCTGGGTTGTTGCGCTGTGTAGTCTGGTCGATGTTAACCAACGTTTCAGAGGTCATACTGCCTCCATCATCAGGGCGATGAGTATGAAGATTTGTGTCTTCTGGGTTGTTGCGCTGTGTAGTCTGGTCGATGTTTACCAACGTATCAGAGGTCGTACTGCCTCCGTCATCAGGGTGATGACAGAAATCTTCATTGTTTCATTTTTATGCGAAATTTTGATCTTGAAGCCACAATGTCAGCACACTCAATGAGGACAAGTCGCTTATTTTGGGATCTCGGAGGAAACAAATGCGCGTTGGCTATCTTCTTAAAGTTCAAATTTTTCTTTGCAAGAGGACAAAATTTGCATTTAAGTTTACAACACTTTGCAGTAATCATATAGAACTCAACTTTAGCCCCCGCAATATCCATTCCACTGTCCTTTTCTACGCATTATGCATGGTGCGTTCAGATCATAAGAACGGTTGGATGTGGGTGAACGGGAGTTGCAGACAACCATCTTACTGAATTCCAATGGAGGAAAGGAGGGCTAAACTTTTCGGCAGGATGACGGGTAGGTCTCAGGAATTTCGGGATCTGGTGGCAGTAGAATCACCGATCGGACACGGAACTCAGCTCGTCACTAGATTTTTTCAGTTTCCTTCGGCAAGGGAGAAACTGTTCATCCTATCTCGTTCTTTCTTAATTTTAAAATATAAATTAAACATTTTGCATACTAATCTCTCCGTTCCTTTTGCTTGCCCACAAGAATGGTGTGGGATTTTGCGGGTACTTAATTTTTTGGAAAAATATTACTACTGAATAATAAGTAAATTTTAGCTGCCTTCTCCAGTATTTTGATAACCTATTAAAATCGCTTGGTTCCAGACGTGGAGGTCAGTCACATTAAACAATTCGTTCCCTGCTGAGAATAAATCCCTGTCATTCAAACCGTAGTCGGTGACTTTATTTACTCTAACAGGCTACATAATTGTAACAGAATTCTATTCAACACTTTGTTTTCGTGGAATTGTTTTCAAACAAATACGTCTGTTATGGAAACTAGTAGCATTATGTTTGCTGTAGAGTTATTTACTTCATCCTGCTATATAAACGTTTATCCAAAATTATTGGAGCCCCAACTGGACGCTTTAGTGTACCCAAAAAATAAAAAGTATTAGCGAACCCAATGTTGTAGTCAAGGTACTCTAAACTCCATAAGAACCGTGACGATATTTCCACCAATCAAGGAGCATTAGTTTATGATTCCAATAAATGCTGATGAATGTTAATAATTTTCTTGGTTTCTCGTCAGGCGATACAAGGGCAGGATCAACTTGTGCCATATTACATAATGGACACTGCTGCCATCATACCTTGCCTCCCAGGTCTATTTGTGGCGGGTGTCTTCAGCGCAGCCCTGAGGTACAGTATCTGATAGAGGTAAAGGAGTCAAGGACATTGATTTATTTTTATTTATTTATGGTTCGCGATGCTGTGAGTAGTTCAGGCTACCAGCTTATATGTAGAATGATAAGACGTTTAATTAACTGTAAAGTATATGGAAAGGCGAGATTGAGATATAATTTATAGCCTGCATTTGCCTGAACTGAGGAAATCTACAAAAAATATCCGGATAGCCAGTACAGTGGTCGCTTCTCAGCCTGGTTGAGTGATGCACATCCGATTATACGAATTTCGGTAACATTTGGTATTGTGGAGTATACTAAATTCTGTCGGTAAAATTAAGTTCTAGTTTAAATTGTACCTATAATCCCGACTTTTCAACATTCTCAAGTGAAATTTTTATGAATATTTAAAATAAAAATGTCCATGTTACTAAAATATGTTACGATACATAACAACATGTACGAGCCTTGGCAAATTTCGGACTCTTCTATCATGAAAATGAGACGGTAAACTGAATTTCCTGTTTAATCACGCCTTATTTTATTATTATTTCTCCGCATGTCCACAGTTCCATGTCCAGCGCCCTCAATTCTCTGGCAGGTACAATGTACGAAGATTTCATTCGTCCCTGCATGAAATATAAAGTAACGGAGAAATGCGCCAGCTACATCCTAAGATTTGTCGTCGTCATTATTGGTGCCATTTGCGTACTCATGGTGTTCGTGGTGGAGAAGCTCGGCGGCATTCTACAGGTAACAGCTGCACTTCGTAACGATTGCCGTTCGCCCCGCACATCAGTCGTAGCGTAATTATTGGAAAACTCTTTGTGTGTTCACAGCTGGCCTACACTACAGGGGGAGTAACATCAGGAGCATTTTTGGGGCTGTTCTCTCTTGGCATCTTCTTCCCAAGAGCGAACTCTAAAGTAAGTTATTTTCCTTCATTACCTCTGTTTTATCAACGCCTCTGATTCTTCCGACTTGACCTAGAAATATTTTAGTTTCTTTGAGGATATTTAAACACATTTTTTCTTATTTAATTATAAGCCGTAATTAATTTATGGGACCGAATACGTGTCTACTAAGCCCTAATGCCGTTGTCTAAAAAATTACTAAAAATACCGTTTGATGGTATTTCTTTACATCCTACTTTTACCGAAAATCTCACTGAGAATATATATATATGTTGTATAATTTGAAGATATTTGTCGATAGGGAGCACTGACAGGAGCAATTGTTAGTATGCTGATACTCGCCTGGATCGCTGTCGGCGCCCAGAAAGCACTTGCTACTGGCACTATGACGCATAAGAAACTCCCTACGTCTGTTGAGGGCTGTTCAGCCGCCAACAATACAACACTCATAACAACCAATCCCGTAGAGTAAGTAGCAAATTATTTTAGTTTATACAATTTGCAACTGGAAATATGTGTGGAATTTAGCTTTGTGATTTATTTTATGCATTCATAATTAGTAGAAATCATGAAAGAAGAAAGTTACGAAATCCTTAAGGGATTATCTGTATTGGTATTCTGTGCTGGAAAATCATGTGTAATTGTAGGTAGGTAGAGCAGCGCGAGAAGTGCTGGCACTTGCGCAAAGGACGTATGAGATGGACTCGTCCGAAGCACGCGCTAGAGGGGTGTCAGCTTCAGTTGATTTGTAGCTCTAGCTGTGTCTAGATCGGTGCGTCACCGCAACTGAGACTGTGCAACCCCCACTACTACTGAAATCCCTTCTCTCGGCTTACATATCGCGCACTTACGTGCCACGACTACTCGCGCGACCTCTAGGTAGATAGATTGATACAAGGATTCCACGTAGAAAAGAGTACCTCCATCTTCAGGGCTAATAAAAACCTATTTGACGCCTATACGTTGCCTTAAATACCCTTAGAAAGTGTTAAGATATGAACAAATTTTAAAATCCAGTTACAGCTTAATCTAAAAAGGCAAAAATTCAAGTGATATATGTAGGCCTACATGTACCTCTTCAGGTCAGAACTTAATAAGGATATGAGATAGCTACAATAGTCCAATCACACAGAATCTATGTAATTCGTGCACAGAAAGACGGATGACACAAGTAATATAGTAAGAAGCATTTAAACTTCCTTCATAGAAATCATTAACAAAAGCTGCAATTGTCCGTTATCACACAACAGTTCCTGTCTTACAGATCTCCACTAGAAGAAGCTTTCGTCCTGTTTCGCATTTCATTCATGTACTACACGATGCTTGGATCGTTCATACTGATTGTAGTCGGAATGATCGTGAGTCTACTGACGGAGCCGACTAATCCAGAAGATTTGAACCCAAACCTATTCGCTCCGTTTCTACGGAAATACGTCACGAAACTGAAAGAAGAAGGATGTAAGAAGACCCGTAATGAGAGAGAGTTGCTCAACATGCCATCCGAGAAAAGAAGTTAATTGACAGAATTTTGACTCAGACGTTTCGTAAAATACCTCATAGTTTACGACGAGGCTAGGCTATAAATCAATCATCATACAATTTAGGGGTCAGAATCTGTTTACAATTACCACTAGACTAAATTTAATAATACGTTAAAAATGCATGAATAATCTCCTCGCCATGTTTGTAATTATAAATACGCAATAAATATTTCATACAAAATATTAGGGTATATTAATGATCTATTTCAGTGTAGTCTACCTGGAGTCTAGCGGCCCTAGAACATTGCGACCAGATAAGCAAAATTATTTGTTGATTTTTAATAGTTACTAGAAGCTAATTTATTTTCTTAACTTCGAATTAGGTTATCTTGTCTTCTGCTTTAACTAGGAAATGGCAGTGACTTTAAAACTCTGTCGTAAAATGTATTTTGGGGGAAGTTTATGCCACATACAAGTTATAGCATGAGAAAATTAAGAATTAAATTAAATATATTTAAATTTTGCTTATTTCAGTAAGGTTTATATTTGAGCAAATATAATGATAATGTATTGCTTCAAAATAAGAAATGTTGGAGACCGTGAAAATTTGATATTGGTTTTAAAAAGTAAGGTGGGGTTTCTTGGCCTTAGAGTCCAAAGAGTAATTTATTCTTGGTCCGAGGGGAAATAAGTTAAATAATACTGATCTGCTACATTAGGAAGTTGCACATTTATTAATTAGTTGCCGCCGTCAAACTATCTGCTACTCACCCACATTGTTGTTTCACATCATGCAAAAAAACAATCCGAAACACAAACTGCGTATTTACCGAAGAAGTAGTGTCACTGGTTATGACATCTGGAGTTTATTTAATGACGCTATGTTAACTCTGAAATGAGATGTTTCAATGTTATAAACGGTAAATCGGAGTGGATAAAGGAGGAAGTGCCTGGTACTACCTTAATTGATTCATCAAAAAAAATTGTTAAAATATCAAAAACTCCACAACGGATAATTTTTTATTTCTTGGTGTGAAGTTTAACGTTGCACTTTTCGAGTACTAGTTAATATACAACACGAAAACAAAAAAAACAAAAATAAGCGGGCTTCAAGCAGGCAAAGTCACGTACTTTGCTATTCTGTAAATAAAAAACAAAACCCTTACGAAACAGAATTGTGTGTTTTAAGCTGCAAACATGCAGTGAACGTGTGAACTTCAGCTTCTCATTGTGTACGTGCTAGGAGTATATAAAGAGCAGCATGTGTGTGCTGTGTGGGTCTGACACTACGTCTCCAGGCGATACATCTGTAGTTACAGCCTTGTTCCCATGGGGTCCTGACACTCTGGAATTTTCTGTTTACAGACGGCAAGCGCACTGTGTAAACTACGTCCCAGAAGTTAGTGAGGTCAGGTTTCCTTCGTTGAACTTCTCTGTAGTATTTATCGATACAACGCAAACTTTAGTCACTTCATGTCCTTAAATGAGCCGTGCAGTTTGAAGTGCTTTACTGTATTAAAGGTAATAAAGATGGAAATAAAATCACATGCTATGTCTATTTAACCCGTTCCACGCCAATTTGTAAATAAAAACTTAAGGATTTTTTACATGGCCATGGCAAATCACAATTCAGCATTCAGACAAAAAACAAGAAGCCCTCGCGTGTAGTGAATCAAACCCCGGTCACATAGCCCATAGCGAGTTATCTCTGTTCATGTATCTGAATAAATATAATTTTAAATAATTGAAAACTCATTCTGCAATTTTTATTTTTCTTCTACTCTACAAGTATGTTGTTTAAGCATGTCCTTAACCAATTCAGTTTTCGTGTGTACATTGATTTTATTTGCGGAGATCTGCATGTTTTGAGAGTCTATTGTTGCCTATTCTGTTAATTACAGACCTATTTTATTTTCGATATATTCAACAAAGTACAAGAATTTCTGGAGGAACAGACAGACCAGCTTCTCAAGGTCCATAATTTTTCGGGCGGCCTAGGAAAGCTCCTTTTAAGACGGCTGTATTCTGGATTGTAGCAGAGTGTAGTCTGATAGAAGTTTGTCAACGTTTCACAGGTCTTTGCTACCTTGTTTGATGTTGGAGGCAGCAAGGATCTCTGGAATGTTGGTAAAGGTCTATCAGAGCACACAGCGCTATAACCCAGACGAGAGCCATCTTCGTATTCATTGCCGTGGAAATCTCAGATCCTACTAAGCGTTTTTAATTATTTTCCAAATAGCCGCTGTTTTAATTCCGTATACTTGTTATCTATTCTAGCAAATTCTTGTCATTTAAAAACAAATTCTTCTCAATTTAAAATCTGTTCGTGGATAATATTAGTTGTTTCTTTAACACACTTCGAATGTAATATGCTGCTGTGTTGAAAATCGAACCGTACGCGTGGAACGTTATGTAACGCCTGTGGTAAACAGACAGGACACTAATCACAGGGCGAGTTATGGTTTTTCAGGGTGTGTATTGCACAGATAGGTTTCATTATTTATTTCTCGCCAGCTACCTACACATGACAAGGCTCAGAGCCACCATGAAGCGACCAGTCGGAATCGATTCTTGCCCAAAGGATTAGGTTAATTTATAGTTCTTTTTTTTTTGGAAGAGAGAGCAGTAAGGCTTAACTTAGATACTCTGGACCCAGTAGTTTTCCATACATAACACAAATACGTCACAAAAATGACAAGCCATTGATCAGAATAAAAACGTTGAACAGAAACAGTTTAACACATAATTCCACTATATTTAGATTTTCGTGCGTATTCCCAGTTAATTTGGTTGGGTTTGTCTAGATAGTTCATTCACATCTAACTTTTCGTATCTACCAAAGATCACTCTCGTAGCAACCAATACTTTTGTCTCAATTTAATGCCTATAACCATAGAATTATATTACCTGATTTCTATCCGCTTTCTGGTGATCCATCATTCCTGTGTGCGAAGTTATTTTCATTTATCACAGTATTTCGTTCTGAGGGAACGCGTTTTATATTTTCTTAGTGTTTGGAAAATTGATGTTGGTTTGTGCGTTCTTTGATTATATTGTTTCAATTGAAGAAGATATTTACTGTCTATTGATGAGAGGATGATTGTGGACGGTAATGTGGAAAGAGAAATGTATTAAAGGAAACGAAAGTGAACTGTTTTATTCTGTACGACGGACAGAAAAGAAAACATAGGACAAGAGTGTTTTCTTTGATCAAGACCAAGTTTGCGGTTTGGAAGCGATCAGATGGCACCCCAGTTCTAACCATCTACTGCTTTGATATTCGCCATGTGGGATATATAAACCTCTGGTAGATTAGACAATCAAGTGGCCGAGATTCGAGTCGGATACGTTGCAAATAAAAGTCGTTACAGATTGAACTAGATTAATCGGTTGATTCCACATGGTTAAAAAATCATCAGCTGCCCAATTTCACTATATAGTTTCCGATGCTGCTTCAATTAAAATACTGATTTTCAATGTCCTGATGATCTCAATAGCATAAACGAAGATATTCATGAAACCTTTAGACGTAGCTTGAAATGAGAAATTAAGATCCAGACAATTTACTTATAAGTTTTTCATTACATTATTTAATCATTGTTTAATTATTATATAACCGCAAGCTCTTCGCCGTCAAACACTTGATAATTTATTTGCCATTTCAGAGGTAGAAAATCTTTAAGTTGGACTACGTATGAAACAATAGATAAAGATTTCACATTTTTATCTTCAGATATGAAAAAGTTTTGTGATTTAGTATTAAAATGTACATGATTATATCTTTGAAATTCGGTTAAAATCTCCTGTTTTACTTTTTTACGTTAGATTAAAGTTTTACATGTGACCTACAGAAAATGATCAATTAAGTTCTATATAGCTTAATCTTCATGTTTCATGTCGGATCTATACGACAGTGGGCTCATATTCAATATAATATACCTACTATCTATCTATATAAATATTAACATACATATCCATCTATGTAACCTCATTCTATATATCTCTCAATGTCATTTCTTTTACTTAAGAATGGGATTTGTTATGTTTCTAAGCTAACACAATAAATTTTAAAGCACTTTAAACATATACCATGCTATAAGGTCTCCTCCGGGCGGACAGAATGTAGGTTGTCGTGGCTGTAATTATAAAAAATTCATCTAATGCCGAGGGGCTTGGCTGCAGCCCGCATAGCGGTAGCAAAGCAGAATTGGTAGCTGCAAGATATTTATAATGTCTAGGTACACATGAACCGTAATAATACGACAGGGACTCATAATTTAAATTTTTGTACCACATTTTAAATACCGCGGTATTAAAAATGATGTGTGTGTTAGAAATTGTAGCTTTTTATATATAAGCAGACCATAATAATACTATACATTCTAATACAAACTTTACCATACTTACGGTAGGCTTATCTGTGTTAATACTTCCATTTCATAAAGCTTCATACAAGGCGGACTAAGTAGGTAGTCTCGACTTCAGAAACACTTATTTTGTGTGGCCGACACCCATGTTTTCAATATTAAGAAATACATTAAATTATATGTTCATTGCATTGAATATTTCTGTATTGAATGCAGCTCAGAAAAATACAACTGCTTAGTCCATTATCCAGGTTCTGGAACTAAGATCGAAATATTTGCTACAAGACAAGTAATTAACTTACAGCAAACCCTTTCAGAGCTCGGATATGCCGCCATTTTATTTCATCTCGCTACAGGTCTGCCCTAACTTAATGGTGCGGAGTCGCTCAGTTAGTCAAATCGAAGTATTTGACTGGAGCGTTCATGATAGGCCGCATTACCGTTAAAAAGTAACTTTTCAATAGTATTTAATTAATTATCTTCGATAAATTACTTAATTAATATCCATTTATGATAATCCGCTATTCAAATGCGCGTAAAACCTAACAAACGAAAACGGCGTAGCAAATTGTTATATACGAGGCGCGTCCTCAAAGTAAGTTTCCCTGGGGCCGTTTACAGAAACAAAACACAATTTCATGGAAATATGTATTGCAACAGATACAGCAAGTGTCCAGCTATTTTTCAACATATTCGCCACCGGAATTGAGACATTGGTCATACCGTGGGACCAACTTTTGAATACCTGTGTCGTAGAAGTCTGCCGCCTGGGATTGGAACCACTGTGTGACAACCATCTCCGCCTCTCTGTCATTCTCAAAACGCTGACGCTGACCGGACAGAAATTTCTTGAGGTGTAGGAAAAGATGGAAATCACTGGGAGCGAGGTCCGGGCTGGAGGGTGAATGATTAAACACCTCCCAGCTGAACTCCTGCAGGAGACTTGCTGTCCGTCGAGCCGTGTGCGGCCGAGCGTTATCACTGACCGCACTTCACAGTCGGCGGGAGCTGGAATAAGAACCGCCATCTTCAACAGCTGCAACGAGAAACGTAATGCCCCAAACTATTTTAAAGGACATTTTGTGGTGGTTTAGTAACAGTCTACAAATAAAACGTTAATGACATTATACAGTAAATATGAAATTTTTAAATGAATAATGGCTACGCCTGTAAATTATATTCTGTTACCAAAATTTGTTTGTGATAACGGGCCTCTGTTAAGAATAAGGTATTAATCTAAAAATAAAATAAAAGAGCCTTTGAGTCAATATATTCTTTTACAATAATAGCGTGCATCAATCCATATCAAACTCTGTTCTTACGCAGATCTATATCGAGTGCGTAGTTAGGCCTGCGACAAACTTTATACAATCAAGAGATTCTTTGAACTTTTCCATTTCAATCGCGAACTCCCTCGTCATCAATTCAATTTATCAGTTACAGCAGCAAAAAGAGCAGAACCAAGAAGAAATCTTCTTTCGAGCACGGGAGCGTGATGTACGATATACACGCGTTACGCCGAAGTACTCGGCAAAGAATGTCTAACATCATCTGGAGAGCAATGTTGACATGCACAAGATGGATTCCCATGCTGCAGAAAACACGAAGCATGGTTAGCTCGGTTTGTAATCGGACGCAAATTGCTACACAAATACAGAATAAAGAGAAATTCTTAGGAAATTTTCTTAATAGTAGTCTAGCATTCATCATTACCATTTAAAAGTGCAGTCTACCGGAGCAGCAAAGGCGTTTGATTGCATTTAAAAATACCTTAACCCAGAAAATGTACTATTGGTATAGGCATAGGTCCAGATCACGTTACTAAAATTATCTGTATTTTATATAACAGAATAAAGAACAACTCCAAGAAGTAGTCTTTTGAGAAGCTAATAGCCGCTTAGCTGGGCAGTAAGTACTTGGTCATTTATTGAACCTGGAAGTTGATTAGCTTACTCACAAGTTATCACCACTGAGCGAGTTGAATTCAGTCTACTCCCTATTAAATTAGAAATAATTTAAATATTTTTCTCGTATGGGTGATCACCTATATGGTTTATTTAACATGATAATATTAAAAATAAACTGAATTTACCTCACCTTATAACCATCTCTAAATTTGTAACTACAATGTTTTCCCGAACGTTGGTTAACATCAAATATTCGGCGCTGCTCTAGCCC